GGCGCGCAAGCCATCACACCATGTCAAGGTGCAGTCTCGTCGTGATGGAGGAGAAAAATATTTAAGGGACTGTTTTTACCCTGTTGGATTGTTGAATCCACTTGGCTTCAAATTACACTATCGATTATCCATTCCAAATATCTTTTACATAGACACATGCGCACCATTATTCCAATACATTAACCATCCTATATAACCGGTGCATTGTCGCTCTCACTTGTCTCCCCAATCTGTGCCCATGGTTCACTGAACTTGCCATCTGCATAAACACACACACATCCGCGCAAACCGACACACGCTTCCCATGAGCTATCCCTTCACGGCGTTCAGTAGGAGGTAACGTTCGCGCACATTGCATTTAAATTCATCCTCTCTAGGTCACTTCCCCCGGGGTGGAGGACCGTTGACACTGTCCGGCTTCATGGAAGTAGTGGATTATTTGATTTGATCATGTGGTTAATATCGTCGTGTCCAAAGAAGCTGAAGTGTGGATTGAAGACGAAGGGAACCCGAAACAGGTGTTTCGATCTGATTAAGTCTCAGAAGCAGTGCGCATCCATAGACCTGACTCAGGATCAAATCCACGACCAAACCACGACCAGGACTCAAGCATAATACTCAGTCAGCTGCCGGGCAATTGATCGTACCGTTCTTCAGTTTGTCCATGTGCGAAATACAGCAACCCATCTTTGCGAGCTTAATGCTTCCAGGGTTAGAAACTCAACTAGATGGAAGTTACTGTTCAGTGTTTCCTCACTTTTCACAAAGGTCCTGTTAGGCTCCCTGGATGGGGACCTCGGAATGATCGTAACCGATGGTTAAAGACACTGAGTGATGTGACTGGGTGTCGCAAACAGGGCCGTTCGTGCATCTCTTCAATTTCTTTGCAACCTTAGACCACTGAACTTCTCCATTTTTGGTTCGACTCCACTTTCAGCTTTCTTTTCTCCTATTCTTCATCTAAATGGGCAACCAAAACCGGAGCTGGAATATGCGTGGTTAATGGTTGTACAAACTGAACTGAATTGCTTTTGATTTCAAGGTGTGTTTGCTCCGGAGGAGACTACATTAATCATTTAATTGTTTGGTTTATTCGTTCGATAACCACGGCGTTGCAAGCGTGCTTGTTCTCAATTCGTACTTATTGGACTGCTGGTTTCATACAATCCGGTGTTTGTTGAATGTGATAGTTTACATTTTTCAGAATAAGCCATTTTTTGCAAAACGCTGTCATTTTTTGCGCGTCACTATACTTGGATCGTTGTAGCCGGTGAAGTAAATATGCATCTTGTAAGTTACCAATATCCTGTGGGTCCAAGGGTTGTATCTAAGTCGAAAGCAATTCAAAGACAAGTCATTTATTGATTATTCGGTTTTGTTTGAAATCCTGTCAAATTCTACATTCACAGAGCATTGGGGCTACATTGAGAAAACCATTTACGGTTGCAGACCTATCGGCCAATAATGTGCGCAGTGCATGTCACCGTATTCCGAACGCATTAGTATTACGAATTCGTAGACCCAACCAAGTCCAGTCAGTAAAGATCGTGAACGCCAAAAGTATAGTTTTGAACGTGACCGTGCTCCGAGAAGTTCTCGTTTTTTCAGTTATTCTGTATGTACTGGATCGACGTCCAGTGATAGAGTGACGCGCAGAAAAAGGAACTCCCCTTAGTTCCAGGCAAATATAACACGAGTTCGGTAAGGTACGTGTATTAGATAAGGATAATCAGGCAATATGTACAACATACCGCAAGTTATTAGCAATCCGGTTTAGAAACCAGGCAGGGTAAATCGAGTCAGGCCATTCGTTAGGCACCGTCAGGCCATAGAATATGGAACATTAGGGAAACAGAGTATTTAAAGGAGGTAAACCGACCAATCAGAGCCACTCAGTCCCGGGGCTATTAATTTGGTAATACGGATAGATATGGGTAAACAAGAGCGAACAAAACTAAGCGATATCGATAAAACGGTAAAACAAGCGAAGAAAGCGGTACGGTAAAGTTAGCAATAAATTTGATTCGGGATGAGTAATGTTCACTTGTATGGGAAAAAAGGGCGGGTCACGAGTCACAAGAGCCGACGTGGAACAGATTTGCTCGTATCAATATGTCACCAAATGTATCATGCTGTAAAGACCAAATGCGTCCTCGAGGCGTTTTAGAAGAGATGAATACGGAGGAGATCATGGTCGAATGCTGACAGTTGTTGGAACATGGGTTATATCATATCACATGAACGTATTAGTGTATACGAATAAAGTCACATGTGCTGACAGCTGTGGGTCGAACAAATATCAATGTGTCCATTGAAGCGTCTCAAAAGGGGTTGAGGTCAAGTGGTTTGCTAAAGAGTGAATATGCAATGGTCTAGGGGGCGTTGATCAAAAGTGATCTGACGAAACAGATACACCCGGTACAAGGTGGGGTGAGGTCAAACGGACTGAAGGTATTAGTACAAAATGTTGACTTTACTGGCCTGTTGAATTATTCAAACCAGTTGATCTTTACACTGTAATAGCTGTATATTGCCGGATACAAAACGTATTGTCCATCGGTCCTTTGCTTATTATGAGCATTCATATAATCCTCCACTTTATTCGTCTTAAAGGTGCCCATCACTAATTTGCTGAACATATATTAGTGATCACATAAACTGCAGTATGCACTTGTACATACGTAGCGAAATGATCCAGGATAGATTGTGCAAACCTGTGTTTTCTGGCTTCTCCAATACCGACTTACTTTACTTTACTGCGGCTGGTTCCTTGGAAAAGAATAAGCCAGCTCCAGACGTGGGCATGATCATGAAGTTCCTTGGTAGTTTAGTACGAGAGACATCCCCAGCGTCACTGGGCGTTTTTATTTTAAGGGCTCACCTTTAGCCTTTGCACAACCAAGTGCGAACTGCAAAGCAGCAGGAAGTAATCCCTCGCCTCGGAAGTGAAAGGGGTTTTGCAAAACCAGTCATATAAACCTTTGTCACGACACCATCATTGGGCTTATACAGCTTTTCAACGGGAGCCAGTTGACCAGCCTGAAAGTCATCACACTCTTGTAGTGCCGCCACTGTTTTTTCGTGACTGCTTATTTGTTGCGTTTTGCACAACTTATTCACAGCTAACCTTGTTCGGTGAAGGTATTCCCCTATCCACAACCAGGGTACACGCCTGGCAGAATTGAGTTATGCTTAACCCGAGGGTATCCAGGTCCTCCATTCAAACTCTCAGAAAATTAGTCGGGATTGGAATGAAACCGTTTTTCTATGCAATTCTACTTTTACTCGAATGAAAAGAAGTGATTAAGTCGATTTTGTTTAGCATGTGTATCTTATTTTCCCGCTTATTTCCAGTTCTCATTGGGTTTCGGTACCGATCCACTGCTAACCGAGTCTACCAGTTTAACTGGAGACAAAACTTTGGCTTTGCATGATATCACCGATACGTGGCCTGGGTCAGGAGATCAGAACACAAATCTGTCTGGGTCTACGGTGTCCGGATTTGGGGTCACTGATCGTCCAGTGACGCCTCATCTGACCGGATCGGCCCCGGAGTTGCTCGGATCACCCAGTTCCACTGGGACCGGTTTGGGTTTTAGTGGAAATCATAGACCTGAGCTTAGCACACCAAAACAATCGGAGATGACTATGAAATCGGAGAGCCCTTTGCTCCCGGTGACTCCGGTCACACACAGCATGAATGCAGATCCGGAATCTGTTCCAGATGAATCTACATTGTCATCGGAGACAAACGCTATTGGGACAGCAGGAAGTACCACCAGCAGTATACCAATCGGATCTCATTCTAAAGCCAGTCGGAAACCGCTCAGACCACAAATGGTTCGTCAGTTCTCGAATGATTGGGCGCCCAAAAATGACGATCCTATTCGCACTCCTGAGGCACAGACAAAATCGGACTATCTGGACTGGTTTGGTTCTGTTGAAGATGAGTGTTCCTCATCGACTCTGAACTACGGACAATCGGTTGGCTATGTGGTGGATTCCAGTGTCAGTATCAATAGACGCTTTCTGAACCCGTTTACCAGTAACACTGAAAAACGTGTGGTGGCCTCACTACGAGACGATTTACTTCGTGGTTCATTTGCACAGGTCAGTAATTTCGTAGTTTGCAGTTGCCATGATTTTGTTAGTCATCCACTCGGTCGGCTGTTTAGGAAAACGTATCGATTCCAGTCGGTTTGTTGGTACTGTATTTCGATTTTCTAAGTGTGGAACAGAAGATTGATTTACATTCGGTAACGAGAGAAAGAAGAAAAGTTTGAAGCGGAGTGGCACTCTGATATCCCACGGGACATTGACTGATCAGAGACATTGAAGTATGCCATCAAAAGTGCCTGTTGATGAGATTCAACCAATGCTAATTTTGTCGAACAAAACATATTCGGATGGACATGCGTCTTGAATTTGTTTATTACATGACAAAACTTGATACACAGTTTCAGTAGAAAATTCCGTGGATATAAGTGTGATAGAACAAGCGAAATCCAAGAAGAAAAAATTGAAAAAATAAAGTAAATCTGAATCAGAGCAGCTTGATGTTACTTCAGACAATGAGCAAGTGAATTATCACAGCTGTATGAGTGCGTCAATTATTTACGAACTGGTGAAGAGGTCAGACTAATATGATGTGTTTTTTATCATTAACAAAACTTGATTCACAAGAAACCCCAATCAAGTAATTGGTGTTCCATATTGTTGAACTCTGACTTGATGGCTCAGGAATAAGGGTTTTTAGCTCCTAATATGATGGTTCGTAGTTCGAGTTTACTGAGGAAAACTATCGAATTCCCCCCGACAAAGACGAGTGACCCTTATCGCCCAAATATATATATATATATATATATATCACCGGGTCGCGGGGTGTCACTGCCACAACAATAATTAGAGAAACAGGGGAAGATTGGATTGGAATTGAGGACGAAGTTTAAGGGAGATTAAACAGATGCAATCTAAAGTAGTAAACAATAAGGATAACAACAACATTTTGTGTTTAACCGTACACTTTTTGATATATTTTTTGTGTAATATCATAATTATGATCGTATACTACTGATCAAGTGCTACCTCGTTTCAGACATCACGGAAAACCGTGTGCATTACAATGGGAGGTGAGGAGCAACAAAATTGAGCACAATGTTCTCTGTTGGTTCCAGAAGTATTTCCCTGTTGTCGATGGATTCAATCCGACAACCGTTTGTATTTTTCTCCTTGTTTACGATTGAACTCAGAACGGTTTTTTAATTCCTTGTTTAACATTTTATTTCGAAACGAAATTGTTTTGTTGTCTTTTTCACACTTTACCGTCGCTCTTTCCTGGAAGAAATAAAACAAATTACAGATAACACAAGGGAATTATTTTGTGTTTGTGATTAACCGGTCTTTATTAGTCCGCTTCTATAGGATCAATTTAGATTGAGAAATGATGATCACTGTCGATCGACCCGGACGCGAAACACGCGCAATTGAGGGGATGAACTTCTTGTGCACTCAAATACAAACGATCTATAATTTCGGTTTTAACTGTCCCGTGGCAGGTTTATTTACATGATTGTCTCATACCATTCTCAATCCTAAATGTATTCCAAGCAAATAATCTTTGAAACAAAGAGAAAGTCCCCGTGATTTGCCAATAGAGGGGAGGGGGGCAAATTGTGATGACTCAGCGTTTTGCGACATCACCAACGAAGATGAAACCTGATCCGGCTTCAGGCTGACCAATTAAAGCTTAGTATTCTGGACCAATCGCAATTCCCCCCGGTTTAAGCGGAAACCCTGAGAATAGAAGAAAATGAACTGTGATTGGTCAGTACTGTTTGAGCAATGATATTCTTTTGTACATGTTATTTGTTCCCATTGATTTCTTGCAATGAACCAACCACTGTGGCCTCATTCTTGCCTCTCACTCACGTTGAGGCATGTGCTGCTCTGTAGTTTGTTCGACCTTAATCTGGACTGTTTTACCCATTGAGCAGCGACCCTTTTCAAAACATCCGTTCTGTTGGAAGAAACTTGCAATCTACCAATTCGAACGTAAATTTGTGCTAACTGGTCAAATTAATGATACCAAGGCTAAAAATCCATAAACGAAGGGTAATTTACCACGGGAAGCAAATAAAGAGCTGGATAGCACTGCACCAGCTGAGTCGGCCTAATCTCAACATCAATGTGAATCCAACTTCCCAACCGGGTATCGAACCCGGAACATCACAATGTGATGGAATACAAGTAGTACACAAACGTTGGCCGTCGATCGCCAACCTGACTGACATACAGAATTTACCCCGCAATATTGCGACGCTTATTGTGAGCGGTGAATCTTGTTTCTTTATTGTGCACTAACCTTCAACGCATATGACTTGGTTGAAAACAGTCCAAATCTGACGAAATGAGTTAAACATTTCAGGGATAGACATCGTGACTTCGATCAATCTGATGACAGTATATTATAAGCCAGTGTTGTCTCATGAATTCCACTTTGTTCATATCATTCGACAACGCAAATATCAAATTTAAAATGCCAGATTTTCTCACGAACTGGATCGACAGTGGCAAGTTCCTGTGCTTAAATTGGATGTGACCTCGATCGATGCTTGTCTATGTACCTGATCACATTTGGGGTTTAGTGAGCATACAGCGAATGCATTGCAACCTGTGGATAAAGTGTCACAAGTGTGATCTGGAATGTGACGAAATCCGGCTGTATAGGTGGAATCGGGAACCAATAAAAATCTGCGAAAATGTAGAATGTTGTATCGCTTTCTCGGCCACAGTAAACGATTGTTTTCGGCGAAATTGTCCTCAACTGTCTGATCACACCCCAGACCTTTTCTTTGCAAGTCTGTGAAATGCATGAGACATCTGTGGCACGGTAGTGGCATCCGGTTGTCTGTGAAGGATCGAGCATATGCTGTGGCAGTTCAGCCAGTTCTGCTATACGGAACAGAGACTTGGCCATTTAAAAAAGGATAAAAATAGTCTGTCGATGTTTGAACACCGCTGTCTTCGCAGTATTGCACGAATCTGGTGGGGCAGCCGGAAGGGCAATGCTGAAGTTAGATTCAGAGTTTTAGATAACCACGTTTGCCCATTAGAGCAAGTGGTCGATCTCCATAGATTACGCTGGTTGGGGCGTGTCATGCATGTCACCAAATAGGTTGCAACGGCGAGCGATATGCTCTCGATATTTCGCGATATTTCTGGGGTGGAAAAGCCCAGGGTAGTCAACGTAATACCTGGCACGAGAGTATGAAAATCCTAACCAGGGGACTTGGTCACAGTAAGTATTATAATGGGTTAGAGAAGATATAGGAGAGATTGTTACAAACAAAGATCTATAAAAAACAGATTGTTCAACAGTCGTGAGTTTGGTAGAGAAGCGAATCAAATACTACCTGATGAGAGTGAGTTATTATGGGCTATACCATTTCGTGCCAACTGATTCGAAATCTTACAAGTTACTGTAGACCGGAAAATCCCAATGCATGAGGCTAATATCAAACCGCTTGGTCTCGTAAACAGTGGTGTTCGTGCATCTTCTCAATTTCTCTGCTTCATTAGTACACTGAACTTTTCAATTTTCTCTTCGATCCTACTTTCAATCTCCGTGTTTTCCTCCTATTGTTCACCCAAATGGGCGACCAAAGGACAGTTACCAAAGTCGTCGCACGGAAATGCATGCCTGATGGTTGTTTAAACTGAAACTGTATATCTAACCGGCGAATTGGAACTCCAGTTCGTGCTCACTGTCATTACTCGAACTGTTCAGATGTGTCCATGGGCATGCTGGCATATTGGTGGTCTATGAATAAATTCTTGGTAGAACAATAAGAGGAATGTTCCCCTGAGTTAATCGTAGTGTGATCTCCGTGGATCCCTTGTAACGTAAATCTGATCTCGGTTTGATCTCTCGTTTGATTATTCGCAATCTCAGTTGAGCGAATGGCACAAGGTCAAGTACACTGATTGGCTGGGTTCATAAATGCGCGAATGGGTCAGAGTGGTGAGATGACAGGCGTCGTTAGTGCGTGTATGGTCATATTGCGATGGAAGGCAGTTCAAAGAGAGTCCTGGTTAGCGACCGAAGCAAGAATGGGGCCCATCCGACCAGACGCGCAGACGCAGCGGCGGGAAGTGCCTCGCGAGACAATGTTGACTACCACCCGAAACGAGCGAATCGACAATTACAGCCCGACAGACAATCCGCAGCTAACGGGAAAGTTACCTACCCAATGCCACAACGTCGGAGCTGTCAATCAACGCATCTCGCGCCGCGATCGGGTCAAACCAGTCGGAATGGCACGCGGGAGAAGAGGCAACGTACGTGCCAAGTGCGGACCAAGACCAGCAAGGAATGACCCACAGAAAGAGGCATGAATCATCCCGCCTCGCCGTTGAGACTTGACTGTCTATAATCGAACGCATACACTGTTTGTTTTTGAATTGGATCAATAGGCGTTTTCCCAGCCAGCTCGCCTTCTCGTTACAGTGGTGTGCAGTCGCCCAAGTCAGCACAACGCAATGAAGCTACCCTGGCCAAACGCGTTTGTATACAGAGATGTGGAGAAATGGATTCGCGATTTTGAATTAATCGCATCGTGCAACGGCATCAAAGGGAGTGCGCACATGGTCATCGCGTTGGGGGCACTGCTCACCGGACAAGTGAGGGTCGCTTACGACTTAAATTTGGGAAGCAACCAAGCCCTAAATTATGGGAATTTGAAATCTGCATTGGTGGCAGAATTTTCAAAGGAGGGTGACCGCGAGGCGATGAACCGGTTTTACGCTGCGGAGTACAACCGAACTGAGGACCCGTGGGCACACTACCAATATATCAAGCGGCAAATTTCCCTGGGCCTGCCGGAGGCGAATAACGAAACACGGGAGAGGCTTGCCAAGGACCGGTTCATACAAAGCATGCCGACACAGGTGAAAGATAAACTGAGACTTGCGTCGGCGTGCGGAGTGGATGATGCAGAGGGCCTAATTTCCATTGTGCAAGCCTACCAAAATGATGATTTGGTTGCTGGGGTGGATGCTGCTGAAACTGAAGATAAGATTGAACAAATATTTGAAGAAATCGGAAGACTGAAGGAGGAACTGAAAGGCGGATTACAAGGATGGAGACGTTCCAGAGCTCAAGTTCGGCCAAAGCGATGTTTCAGTTGCCACGGTGTAGGACACCTTGCCCGTTTTTGCCCAAACCAGCACATTCGTCCGTGTTTTTCTGTTTCTAATCCGACTGGCCGGGGGGTTCCAAGGCTTGAGGTTTTCATTTTGGGACGATCAAAGTTGGCTGTTATAGGT